TTTCTTTTAGTTTGTTAATATGATAACTTAGATTGATTTTTGAGTTAATCTAATCTTGGATTCCTAGGATAAACTCCACTTGGATATGAATTATTATTTAAAAATGGATGTTCTGGGGATGTTTCCATAATTTGGCTATTTGTAGATAATGCTGTTATAAACATCAGGGTGTATGTAGCCCTTCGAATTACTATTTTTGTATTCTTTGGGTAAATACCTAGTAGTGCAATTGCTGGATCATAGGGTAGTTCTATTTTTAACAATTTGAGGAAACTACATACTATTTTCCATAGTGGCTGCACCAGTTTGCATTCCCACCAACAGTGCAAGAGGGTTCCCCTTTCTCCACAACCTCATTAACACTTACTGTTTCTTGTGTTGTTGATTTTAGCCATTCTGATACATATGAGGTGATAGCTCATTGTAGTTCTGATTTGCATTTCCCTGATGATGAGTGATGCTGAGAATCTTTTCATGTGTTTGTTGGCCATCTATATGTCTTCTTTGGAAAATTCTATTCATGTCTTCTATTTTTCAACTGATTATTCATTTTTGGGTGTTGATTTTATAAGTTCTTTATATATTCTGGATTCTAACCCTTCATTGGATGTATCATTTGCAAATATCCTCTCCCATTCCATAGGTTTCCTTTCAGTTTTGTAGATTTTTTCTTCTGTGGTGTAGAAGCCTTTTATTTTGATGAAGTCTCAGTAGTTTTTTTGCTTTTATTTCCTTTGCTGCAGGAGTCATATCTAGTAAGAAGCTGCTACTGCTGATGTAAAGAAGTTACGGTGTTCTCCTCTAGGATTTTTATGGTTTCAGCTCTCATATTTATGTTCTTAATCCATTTTGAATGTACTTTTGGTATGCTGTAAGACAGTGGTCTAGTTTTCCCAGTACCATTTGCTGAAGAGACTGTCTTTCTCACTGGATATTCTTTCCTGTTTTGTTGAAGATTAATTAACCATATGGTTGTGGGCTCATTTCTGAGTTTTCTATTCTGTTCTATTGATCTATGTGTCAAATATTTTTGTTCCAGTATCATACTGTCTTGATCACTACAGCTCCGTAATATGAAGTCCAAAATTGTTTCAGCTTTGCTTTTCTTTTTCAAGGTTGCTTTGGCCATTTCAGATCCTTTGTTGTTCCATACAAATTTTAGGATCTTTTTTTCTAGCTCTGTGAAAAATGCTGTTGGAATTTTCATAGTGATTGCATTAAATGTGTAGATTGCTTTGGGTACTATAGGCATTTTAATAATATTTGTTCTTCCAATCCATGATGAATGGAGAAAGAAGATGTGTGTGTGTGTGTGTGTGTGTGTGTGTGTGTGTGTGTATAGTATATGTATGTATATATGTATTGTGTATAAATATATGTGTCTGTATATACATACACACACAATGGGATACTGCTCAGCCATAAACATGAATGAAATCTGCTATTTGCAATGACATTGATAGAGTTAAGAGAGTAGTATGCTGAGCAAAATAAGTCAGTTGGAGAAAGACAAATACTACAGGATTTCACTTACGTGTGGAATTTAAGAAACAAAACAAATGAGCAAGGGGGAAAAAAGAGAGTGAGGGAAACCAAGAAACAAGACTTTTAACTATAAAGAACAAACTGATGGGTTCCCAAAATGGAGGTGGGTGGGAGATGGGTTAAATAGGTGATAGGGATTAAGGAGTCCACTTTTTGTGATGAGCACCAGGTGTTTTAGAGAAGTACTGAATTACTATATTGTACACCTGAAACTAATATAACAGTATATTATAATGAACTATATGTTCATTAACTGGAATTAAAAAAAAACTTCAGGGGCGCCTGGGTGGCTCAGTGGGTTAGGCCTCTGCCTTCGGCTCGGGTCATGATCCCAGGGTCCTGGGATCGAGCCCCGCGTCGGGCTCTCTGCTCAGCGGGGAGCCTGCTTCCTCCCCTCTCTCTCTCTGCCTGCCTCTCTGCCTACTTGTAATCTCTCTCTGTGTCAAATAAATAAAACCTTTAAAAAAAAAAAACTTCAAAAAACCATTATTTCATTCTCATCTTTAAGGAAGAAAAATAAGAAGTGTTTTTAGTATACCTTACATTTACAGAATAATTGAGCAAATAGTACAGAAATTCGATATATATACTCCACTGCCCTCATTCCAGTTTCCCCCATTATTAGCAAATTGCATTAGTGTGATGCATTTGTTATAATTAATGGACCTTTTTTTTTTTTTTACAATTAAGGAACTAATACTGATACATTATTATTAACTAGTCCATAATTCACATTAAGGTTCAGTCTTTGTGTTGTACAATTCTATGGGTTTTGACAAATGAATAATGATATGTATCCATCACATTATACTTTCATATAGAATAGTTTAATTACCTTTAGAATATCCTGTGCTTCACCTATTCATTCTACCTTCACTCCCCTTACATCCTTACCGATTTTTTTTTTTTACTATCTCTGTAGTTTTGGCTTTTCTAAAATGTCATGTAATTGAAATCATACAATATTCAGACTTTTCACTTACCAATATAGTTTCAAGTTCCTCTGAATCTTTTCATGATTTGATAACACATTTCCTCTCATTACTGAGTAATATTCCATTGTAAGGATATATTAGAATTTGTTTATTCATTCACATACTGAAAGACATCTTGGTTGTTTCTAGTTTAGAGAATTATGAATAATATTAACATTCATGAATAGGTTTTTGTGTGGATATAAGTTTCCAATCCAAATGGATAAATACCTAGGAGTGTGGGTAGTATATGGTAAAACTATATTTAGCTTTAAGAAATTACCAAACTGTTTTTCGAAGTGGTCCCACAATTTTCATTTCCATAAGCTATAAAGGAGTTTTAGTGTTGCTTTGCAGCCTTTCCAGCATCTAGTGTTACCAGGATTTTGGATTTTAGTCATTCTACTAGGTAAATGGCATAATCTCATTGTTTTATTTCCTTAATGATACATATCAACTTGTCGTATTTCTAGTGAATATGTGTGTATTCATCTGTGTATCTTCTATGGTATTAAATTTGCTAAGAAAATTTTAAGAACATCTACCTCTGTGTAATGAATACCAGTCTATAGTTTTATTATAGTGTCTGTTTGATTTTGGCATCAGATTAATATTGGTCTGATAGAATGACTCAGAAAGTAGTTCCCCCTTTTTAATTTTCTGGAATAGTTTGTGTATAATTGACATTATTTCTTCCTTATGCATGGTAGGATTTTGGTATTATTTCTTCCTTAAATGTTAGGTAGGATTCACCAATGAAGTCACGTGGGTGTCCAGTTTTATTTATGGGAATGTTTTTAGCTATATATTCAACTTCTTTAGTAGATGTAAGGCTGTTCAGATTATTTTTTTAGGAGTGATTTTTGATGGTTTGTTTCTTTTATGGAATTATGTTATAGATTTTTTATCCTTGAGGCTTTTTGACTTTGCTATCTACATATTCTGTGTTTATACTGCCCATTTAAAAACTATACTGCCAGCTTCTTAGAATTTTCTAAGGTTTGACTTGGAAAACTAGAATTACAGTTTAGTAAAGCATAAACCAGTATGGTTAAGATATCCCCATGAAAATGTAGAAGTAATTCTACTTGATTGCCACATGGCCACATATTATAATACAAGTGAAAAAATGGAGATTGATGTTAGAATATACTTAAATATAAAAAATTTCACAACTCCATTTTGCAGATTACAATGTAAACTTTTAATAAGATTACTAAAAATTTAAGTATTTTGCTTTTATACAGATAACCAAAAGCATTAATATTTAAGATAAGGATATTACTGATACAGTATTTTTGTTTATATAACTAAACTTCTTTTCTTTCTTATATTTCCTGGGAGAATCCTTCAACCCCTCTGCATTTCAGTTCATTCATTTGTAAAAAAGAGGCAATTAGACTAGACATTTGCTAAGATTTCTTCTAGATTTAAAAATATTATTCCAATACTTAGAATTTACTTAAAAAATTTGTAAAGTTAACTACAAAATGCTTAATTCTGAAGTATTTTAATCTACTCATATCAATTTGAACGTAAGTATACACTGATGACTAATAAATGATTTGTAGATATTATAAAATGAATGTTTCCCAAGTTTATTTACTTGTAAGCTGCCAATCTAAAGTAATACTGTCTTGGGAAGAGAGAAAATGGAGTCACAAAATCTTTACACCTCATGTTCCAAAGGAAGATAAGTGTCTCTTGTTTAAGATTTCTATTCAGAATCCAAGTCAGAGTGGCACTCACTTTAGTGTCAGTGCTTTTATTATTCATCTTCCTAAGGAGAAAGGTAAACGCAAAAGTTTTTGGAAAGATACTTTGGCACCATTGCAAGAGCAATGTCACAAAGTAACAATGTTACAAATTAACATAGTCCTGTACAAAATTTTGAGAATTTAAGTTTTGTACAAAATTGTGAGAATTTAAGTTTTTCATGGATCCTGGAAATTAACCTGGTTTTTGTGAAGAACTTGATCAGAACAAAACAGTTTCACTGAGTGTTATGTTGTCTGGGCACTCTTTAAGAGCACACGGACATAATTTATTCTCTAAAAGGAGCCATGCTCTGGTTCAGATATAAAACTTTCACAGAAAAACTCTGCAGGGTATGTGTAAAAGGAAACATTTAAAAATTGTAATTACAACAGACTATAAAGATACAGATTTAGTCACTGTTTATCCTTTGCTCATTCTTAGAAGATTTTAAAAAAACTAAAATTTGTAATGAAAAAGTTCTGGAAATCTTGTGTGGCTTACCATCCAATTTTCTTTATATCCAAGACAAAAATTATAGATTTTAAATAAAGGTAAGTTCAGGTGTTCAGGTCAATGTGGTGCTTAAGAAGCAGCTTTGTCTGTAGTGGAAGCTTCTGGTAGTGCCCCACAATGCATCCCCCAGTCCCACCTTGGATGTTAGCCACAGCTGTAGTGGATTTCTATATTCAATCTCAGACTCACCTTTTGGTGATAGCAACTCACCTCCAATGAATGTCCCATTTCTCCACTTTCTGACAAAGTGTCCTTTCCAAGGCCATGGAGCCACCAAGGTGCATAGGCAATTATATCCCAGAAATGTAGAGGAGTAAAGCCCTCAATCAATGGGTCCAGGGTTAGTGGACAGATGATCCGGCCTCTAGTCCTTCCGGTGGACAATTCTGGGAAAAACCTGTTCATTTTTGTTTTGTTTGTACTTTATTTTTTATTTGTTTTATAAGATAAAAACTATTTTTGTTTAATATAAAAGAATACATTTTGATTGTAGAAAGTGTTTGAGAACAGATTTCCTAAAACATCCTTCTCAGAAAAAAAAACTTTATCAAAGATATAGAAGATCTGAACTAATTTTTTATGCACCTGTTCATTTCTAAGGAGATGGTAGTCTTGGAATCAAGTCCCAAGCACTCACAGTAGAAATCTTTGTAATATATCCTTGTATCATATTTTCTTTCCTGTCTCATTTTTCCTGATCTCTCATTCCTGCCTCCTGGGATTAATTCACAAATAAACTTCTTGTGCCTGAATGTTTGTCTTGAGATCTGTTTTTAGGAGGAATACAACATAGGACTTTGGTATGATAGTGGAAAGGAGATCCTTAGGATAGGTTTCCAGAACTTGGTCCCCTATCCTATTTTAAGAATAAACAGGATGATGGAAATCTCTGGTGTACATTACAACTCATAAGAATCTCACCTATGATGGAATGGGACAAGAAGCCATGAGTTATCCACTAGCTCTGTCACTAGAATGGTTTGGGGGCAAAGAATTGTGCAATTGACTAGTTGTCTGGGGAACCTAGAAAAAAAGAAGTAAAAGACTCAGATCTACCAACTGTCATCTTAGGGCACCCTGAAAGCCAAAAGGCCACTTCTGCAGTATTTAAAGAGACCTTTATCTCTTCAGCTGTAGGAGAGCTGTGGTGAACATCAGGCCCAGAGTTGAAGGATGGCAGACCTGCAAAGGAGATGATATGTGCAGCCTCTACAAGTCTGCTTTGTTAAAGTCAGAGCCCTGATACCGAAGGAGAGGGATAGACTTGAGATGAAAAAATCTGGGTGGATGTGCTTGAGCAGCTTGAGCAGCTTGAACATCATGCCAGCCAAAGCAGTCTTTTCTCCTTTACTTGAGGAGAGCAGCCTTGCCTTACCTGGAGGCCATTCAGTGTTCACTTGAAATGGATGCCTTCCATGTACAATAACCCCTACCACCTCAGGATTTAACTTAACTTCCCCATTGCCTTGAGAATAATGTCAAGTTTCAGCTGAGAGAGAAAACATAGTCCTTGATCTGGGAAGAAAGAGCCTATTTACTGAAAGAATTTTAGGAACTGGCTAACAAGCACTGGCAGAAATCTGGAGAACATGTGTGGGAGGAGATCCTGAACGTGTCGCACCAGAGTGAGCAGAATATAAGGCTGGATAGAGGAGAGTTTATTGACATGAGAGCACTCTCTCATGACTCAAGAGCAACACCCTGGCAATGGAGCTGGTGCTAATAGGCTGTTGGGATAACTTCATGAAATTTGGTCATGATGGCCTACAGTCAGTGAGATGGAGATACTGAAATTGCCCATAAAGTACTGAGAAAGAGCTCAGTGGCTGAGGGGTGGGAATGTTAGAATGGATTTCTTGTGTTGAGAGAGACAACCCACTACTTTCCCAGAAGGATCTAGAGAGTTCTCTTTACTAAGGAAATAAAGAATATCACTAATGAAGCTGGCACCAACAGCTCTGAGAAAAGTCAGGGTAGCTACATTCTGTAGACCAGAATTCACAGGAGGGGATATGATACCACAGAATTGGACTCTCTAGTATTAACTGAGATGGTAGGATTCCATAATGGCAGGAAGCAGGTGGTGATATTCAACCATCAGTGGCAAAGTAGCAACAAGCCGAAGTGGCAATCTAGATTCCCTGGTAAGCAGGGATCTGTGATGGTGACTAATATACCATGGTGTACCTCATGTTCAAGGTAGAAGGTAGTAGACTAGTGTAGCTTTAATTGCAAAATCCCAAAAAAGCATGGACTGGTGAGAAGGCTGATGTCAGCTGCTATAAAGGAAAAGTGTTTTCCTTTAATTATTATCTCATTAGGTCCATCCATCGAAAAGGAGGCCAAAGCCCTTTGAAAAATGCCACCTTGGGGCACCTGGGCAGCTGGTTGGGTAGCTGACTCTTATTTTGGCTCAGGTCATAATCTTGGGGTTGTGGGATCAAGCCCCATGTCAGGCTCTGTGCTCAGTGTAGAGTCTCTGCTTCTCCGTCTCCCTCTGCTCCTTGCTGCCTGCCCCCAACCTGCTCTCTCTCTCATAAATAAATAAATAAATAAATAAATAAATAAATAAATAAAATCTTTTAAAAAAAGAAAAATGCTACCTTTTCCACTACAAGTATATATAAAAAGAAATTTCCTCAGTCTTTCTCTAAAGAACCACAAGTTATTTGTCAAAGTAACTGTACAATGGATAAAGGAGAAATACTTAATTCTTTTAAATGTTGGATCGAGGACCAAATTGACTTGATATCAAGTATCTGTCACCATCTTCCCTCAGTTAGAGTGGGGTGTTATGGACACCAGGTAACAAATAAAGTCTGGGCTCCAGTCCATCTTATAGTACTTTCAATTGGATGAGGTAGGTCCTTGTGGCTATTTCCCTGGTTTCTGAGTACATACTTGGGATATTCTTAACAGCTTCACATCAATTCCCTGACCTATGGAATAAAATCCATTATGGTAGGGAGAATCAAGTAGAAATCCCTAAAACTATACCTGCCACCCTGCCAAGATAGTAAACCAGAAAAAATATTGCATTCTGAGTGGAATAGCAGAGATTAGTACCATCTTCAAACACTTAAAGGATGCAAGGGTGATGCCTTATGCATTCACATGTATCACCCTGCTGAATCACAAGGACCACAGTAGAAGACAAAGGACTATCATAAACTTAACCAAGTAATCATGCCAATCATGGCTCCTATGCCAGATACGATACCTCTCCTGGAACTTATGAACACAGCCTCTGGCATGGTATATGACTGTTAATCTGGAAAACTTTTTTTCAATCATTAAGAACATTGAAAGTGTTTATATATACATAGAAAGGATAGCAATGTATTCTAACCTACTGTCATAGGGTTATGTTAATTCTCCTACTCTCTCACTAGGTAGTCTGCAGGAATTTTGTTCATCCTGATATTCCACAAAACCTCATGCTGGTAACTTGTATTGGTAAATTAGGCTAAAGATTTAGTGAAGAGGAAATGGAAAGGACCCTTGGTGCCCTATAAGATAGAAGATACAAGACACAGGCTAGAAGATAGAAGATTCAGATCCTTGCAGATTTTAGGGGTCCAATGGTCCAAAGGATGCTGGGACATCCCCTCCAGGGTAAAGGACAAATTACTCAGCCATTAGAAAGGATGGATACCTACCATTTGCACTGACATGGATGGGACTGGAGGGTATTATGCTAAGAGAAGTAAGTCAAGCAGAGAAAGACAATTATCATATGGTTTCACTCATAGGTGGAACATAAGGAATAGCACAGAGGACCATAGGGGAAGGGAAGGAAAACTGAATTGGAAGAAATCAGAGAGGGAGACAAACCATGAGAGACTCTGGACTCCAGGAAACTGAGGGTTAAAGAAGGGAGTGGGGAGTGGGGACGGGGGTAACTGGATGATAGGTATTAAGGAGGGCATGGGCTGTGATGAGCACTGGGTGTTATACACAACTAATGAATCACTGAACACTACATTAAAAACTAATGATGTACTATATGTTGGCTAACTGAACATAGGACCCCCCCCCCAAAAAAAAGGACAAGTTACTGAACTTGCACCCTCTACCATTAATTAAGAAAGAGGTATAGCATGTTGGTGGCTTTGGCTTTTGAAAGTCGAATACTGCTCTCACCCATTTGTGGGGAGACTTGGAAGGCTGCTAGTTTCAAATAGAGTCCAGAGCAGAGAGGGCTGTGCTCCAGGTTCAGGCTGTGGCATAAGCTGCCCTGCTGCTCAGCTGATTACATGACAGATTATCCACTGATACTACAGCTACCTGAGGTAGGACACTGTGTAGCATCTCTGGCAAGTTTTAATAGCATAGATCTTAAGTTTGGAGCAAAGTCATGCCTTCTCATTATTTGAAAAGCAACTCCTGGCATGCCTCTGGTATTCATCAGAAATTAAAAATCTGATGTCAAGTGATTAACTGGAGCTGCCCATCATACAATGGGTATTATCAGATTCACCAAATCGTAAGGTCAGATAGCAGATAGTCACAGTAGTAATCCATCGTTCGATGGAAATGATGCATTTGGAACTAAGCCTGAGTTAGTCCAGAGGGCATGTGTAAATTGCATGGACAGGTAGCCTAGATTCCCCCTACCATTTACCTCTCTTGCACTAATGCATCTCCTTCAACCTATTGCTAAGATCTCATGGGAAATTCCCTATGATCAGATGTACCAGTTATTTATTGCTACAGTAATGCCATAAAATAATCAAAAAATCTTTATGAGAATCAACAATGAACATTTATTATTCATACATCTAAGGGCAGCTGGGAATAGGGTAGGCATATGTTCTGGTCTTGGCTGGGATTGCTCACATTTTAAGCTTGGCTACGGGGTGACTGGAACAACTTAGCTCTGCTCCACATATCTTTCACTTTTCATCAAACTATCCCAGTCATATTCTTATGTCAATGGCAGAGGTACAAAAGAAAGCAAGACCAATCATCCAAGTATTTTTCAAGCCTCTGCTTGGATCATATTGGTCCAACATTCTATTGGTCCAAAGCAAAACCACATGGCTAAGTTCAGAGTCAAAAGGTGAGGCAGAATGCTCCACCCAGAGTAGGAAGGCAACGAAAAATTATATGGGAAAAGGCATGGAGAGAGGGAGAGGTGAGGAACTGAAGCACTTTTTAAAAATATTAACATGCCAGGTGACAGAGAAGGAAAAAGTAGGCCTTGTTCATGGATGGACCAGCTTGCTCTGTGGGTGTGAGCCAACAATGGCTGGCTTCTACACTACTGTCTCTCTCAGAGGAAGTGATAGAGATCAGTGGTGAGGGAAAAATCTTCCTGATGGACAGAGCTTCAAACAGTACACTTGGTCATCCATGCTGACAAAGACATGGCTTGAGTTAAGAATAAAAAACTGG